GGAGAGGAGAGGAGAGGAGAGGAGAGGAGAGGAGAGGAGAGGAAGGTATTGTTTATCATAATAGCTTCATATGCAAGAAGGAAGAGACAGGATCTGAGTGTCACTGGAGAAGTTCGAAGCCACAATCCTTACACTCAGGAGTAAGCCCTAGCCACTGGAGCAAATAAGAGAGGAAGACACATCCCTCCCCTCTCCTTGAATCTACAGGCTAGGAATAAATCAGCCACAAGGCTAACCAAGAAGATGATTTGCTAAGTAGTGGGATAGTCTTCTCCACTGAAGTGAGAGACATCTGTTCTCTTTCCTCCAGGGTTATTGCAGAGGGGCAAATATGTCTTTTAAATATCAAATATAAAATTTTTATATAAAATATAAAAATAAATATCAAATATAAGGAGTTACAAGAACAGAGGCAGGACATAAGCAGGAGAGATGTCTGCTTTTCTCTGTGATTTACCTCAGAGTGCTGTACTAGAAAAAGTTTTCCCAACTTCTCCCCCAGATAGAGACAGCAAGGAGAGCAGATGGCAGTCACTGACTGTGGCTGCCTCTCTGTTGTTGTTTTTTATCTAGTTACTTTGCATGAATAGAAGAGTAAATACCTATACCAGAGTGACATTCACCCATTTGTTTACATGGAAGGCATACTTTGAGCATCAGTGCTCACAGTATTAACATCAAGAGTGGAGAACATCCCTGACCTTTCTAGCCTATAATAGTAGCAGTAGTTAAACCACTGGCATTTTTCTGAGGTGAGGAGAGTCTGTCCCAAGACTGAAATTTAAATAAAACCCACTTCTCCCACAGAACATTGGAGCTGAATTCTGCTTATGAGAGCAAGGGCACCATATGACAGCTTTCCTTAACCAAGCGCATGGCTGCTGGTTTTTGTTTGTTTAGTGTTTTTTTTTTGTTTGTTTTTTTGGGTTTTTTTTTTGTTGTTTTGTTTTGTTTTGTTTTGTTTTGCTTTGCATGCATCTGTGGGTGGATATTAGGTACAAATAAAGCCAATTGAATTAAACTTGTCACAGAAATTCATTACAGAAAAGCCTTGTCAGGATATCTGATGAGATTACTTAAAATGTGAAGGCATAGAACTAGATCTTAGCAATCTACAGAGTTTCACACTTGTAGACTGAATCTGAGAATACCCTATTGTAAACTGATGTGAACTTCACCTAATTTTCAGTGAATTTCTTCCTATTTGTCCTTTGTTCAACTCTAAAAGTTGAGACAGTAGATGCTGAGCATGAATATTTAAAAATAAAAAATGAATTAAAAAGGAATTATCAGGTTTATTCTTTTAAAGTAGTTACACTGCCTGCCTTAATTTGATTTTCATTTTCATTGTTACATGGCTGAGGCTGATGATTAAATACTTTGGATTCAATCCTTAGAGCAAATTTTGTATATATAGATAGAAAACTACACACACATAAACATACAAAAGTTTTTGGTTTAAATACAAATATCATGCATAGTCAAGTACCTTCTGATAGCACAAAAATAGATAAAGCCAAGTGTAAGCCTCAATAAAAGAGTGTGAAAATCCTTTGTAATTTAACAAGAAACAACCCAGGAACAGGAACACAGGAAGGTCATTGCATTATGCTATTGCCCAGTCATGGTGGAAATTAGCCTGTAATGACCATGTTAATCTATCAAAGGATGTTTGTTTTAGACAAGATTAATCTAAGATCTGTCTTTGTTTAATACAAATGAAAGGCTGGAATTGATCCCATCTTCATTCATTGGACTTTTGCCTTGTTTTTCGTCTGTGCCTAATATTTTGCAGAACACAATAAACTTCCCTGAGGTTGTGTTGATAGAGAAATTATTTTGTCACATGATATCTATGATCTGAGATTAAATGGCCGTACATCCTCATTATATCAGCCACACCAAGGCTCACAGAAGCCTCATAAAGTTAGTATAAAAAGCAAATGCTGTTTACTCAAATAAGAAAGACAAGGTTAGCCAGATCTTTTATTAGCAATCAACTCTATAAAACCCACTTAGTCCAATAAAAAATTACAATCTAAGAAAACGTAAAACATAAAGAAGAAAATATTACTTGGTATTCAATGTTTTCCCCAAAGGGTGAGGGTATTGGGATTGTTTACAAGCTCTTTACTTTCCCTAATATTTTACAAACATTCCACTCATCACAGATTTAGATCTTGTCAGTTATGTTTGACAATTCCTCAACACAATTTGTCTAGTAGGTCTCAAGTGACTTTGAAAGAATAAAGCTTAACTTGGCTCTGAGCTCTAGAGTGCTTATCATACTGCAGCCATGTGCAGATGAACCACAGCTGAAACAGTAATTCTGTTTCTTTGGGCTTTTCTCCCTGGATTGGCATTGCCCAGCAGTTAGGAAAAAAATGACACTGCAAAGTTGGCACTGCTTTACACCAAAATCAGATCTCAGTCAAAACCCAGAGCTGGTCCTGAAGCAATCAGCAGCTTCAGCTCAAGGCCGACAAGTCCAAGCTATTCCAGCTTGAGACAGCGAGTCAGCCCAGCAGCAGGGCAACTGATGAGCTCCTTAGCTCCCAGGAGCAATACACATCTTACTACTTGGACTTACTTAGTTTTTCAGTATTCTCAGATTCAGATTGGTAGGACTGAACCTTTAAACAAACTACAAATAACTACTAGGATATTCCCTCCCTTAGTAAAAATGGCGATTCAGGGTATAGTTCCTCTCGGCTGTTCTTGGAGATGAAGGAAAGGAAGTTAAGACTAAAAAGCCACTCATTACTGATTAGAAGTCAAAGAATATTTTAAAGGGTACATTTCCAGTCTTCCCATTTGCTCACAGCCAGAAAATTCTGATCAAGGAAAGAAGGTGAAACGCTGCTCTGATTTACACAATAGGCGGGAGGAGCAAATTCATGCTCGTATAAGCAAAAATAAATCTACTTTATCTGCATACAATGAAACTGAAAAAGCAAGAAATAAGCAATAGCAGCTTTGTGTAATGTGTAAATAGGAATGAGAGAAATATTGCATTTTTATATGAAATTTTAAGGACTTCTGATGATTTTTAAATGAAATTTTAAATTCATTAGGAGGAAAAGAGCAGCCCTCATTTAGAAAGTAGCAACTTTCATAGCTGATGTACTTAAGAAGAAACAAAAATTTTTTTAAAATATTGCAAATGTATCATCTTATTTAGCATGAATGTTAGGATCATTCTGCATTTTATCTTGTGATATAGCAATGGCAGCCTGGGATCTCGCTTCTCAGATGGTGAAGGAGAATTCTTAAGGATGTTTTGCTTTTCATCATTCTTACTGTGTGACACAACTTGACTATCTGCAGTCCATTGAAACAAAAGTAAGGTATATTGTATGCAAAGAGTAGATCTAAAAATATTACATAAACAACTGCAGGACAGCCTGAAAAGACATTTTAAATTTACATCAGAAATTTTTGCTTTTGCTGTGATTAGATGACCTCACATTCTTTCAAATATATACAGCTTAGCTATCTTCATACCGTGTTTAAAGACTTTCACAGATAAACTTGGGATGATTCCAAATAAATAACAAAAAATATTAAAATGGTATAGTTCTGCAACATACGGCTGTGAAAATTGCAACATACTGAATGAGATATAAAAAATTCTGAAAAATATAATGCAATCATAAATCCATGTAAAAAAGTTGTGTGCTAAAAGTATAAGAAATAGTTTCTGATGCAGTGCTTTACATATCAAACATTGAACCTTAAACTTAGGGTTTTTTTTATTTATTTTTGCTAGAATGAGTGAGAGTTCAGTAGAACTCCCAGAATTTAATAGTAGCTAGTTTTCTCTATTTTTTTTCCATTAGAGCTGCTAGAGATCACTCAATCCTTTACTTCTATCAGTCTCTCAATGAAACAGCTAAGTCACATCTAGCTTTGTTGGTGAGAAATACTTGTCTATAAACAAACAAACAAGATAATAGTTTATTGCAAACATGACAACCATCATTAGGAGATGTAGAGAACCATCTCAACTACCTCAATGTGCAACTCTTGACTATGATGAGTTAAGAGCAAATTTCACCATTGCCAAAGTGCTAAAAATATGAGCAGAGATCTCCTTGACTGGAATTCATAAACATAAGTAATGGCCTAATATCCTTAACAACTAAATAGAGAGAACCAAGAGTCTTGAAGTAGGA